AACCCCCTCGCACCCTCCTCACCACCACCACCACCACCACCCCCCTTCACCATCAGCACCAGCTTCCCCCCCTCCTTCACCATCACCACCAACTCCCCTCCCCCCCTTCACCATCACCACCAACTCCCCCTCCCCCCTTCACCATCACCACCAACTCCCCCCCTCCTCCCCCTCCCCCTCACCACTATTCATTTTCATCTCCCCCCAAAGTCGCCCCCCCCCCCCTTCCCATCTCTTGTTATGCGTCAACCGCGAGTGGTTTCCATGGTTAGGTGCCCCGGTGTTGCGGTGGCTCACTCACGACGCTACAGTGGGTCAGATTGTGTGTGCGTGTGTGTGTGTGTGTGTGTTTATGTGTGAGTGTGTATGTATGTGTGTGTAAGTGAGTCAGTCAGTGTTTGTGTGTTTACGTGTGTTTGTGTGTTTACGTGTGTTTGTGTGTTTACGTGTGTGTGTGTGTGTGTGTGTGTGTTTACGTGTGTGTGTGTGTGTGTGTGTGTGTTTACGTGTGTGTGTGTGTGTGTGTGTGTGTGTGTGTGTTTACGTGTGTTTGTGTGTTTACGTGTGTGTGTGTGTGTGTGTGTTTACGTGTGTGTGTGTGTGTTTACGTGTGTGTGTGTGTGTGTGTGTGTGTGTTTACGTGGTGTGTGTGTGTGTGTTTACGTGTGTATGTGTGTGTGTGTTTACGTGTGTGTGTGTGTGTGTGTGTGTGTGTTTACGTGTGTGTGTGTCTTTACGTGTGTGTGTGTGTGTGTGTCTGTGAGTTTTACGTGTGTGTGTGTGTGTTTACGTGTGTGTTTACGTGTGTGTGTGTGTTTACGTGTGTGTGTGTGTTTACGTGTGTGTGTGTGTGTGTTTACGTGTGTGTGTGTGTGTGTTTACGTGTGTGTGTGTTTACGTGTGTGTGTGTTTACGTGTGTGTGTCTTTACGTGTGAGTGTCTTTACGTGTGAGTGTCTTTACGTGTGAGTGTCTTTACGTGTGAGTGTCTTTACGTGTGAGTGTCTTTACGTGTGAGTGTCTTTACGTGTGAGTGTCTTTACGTGTGAGTGTCTTTACGTGTGAGTGTCTTTACGTGTGAGTGTCTTTACGTGTGTGTGTGTTTACGTGTGTGTGTGTGTGAGTTTACGTGTGTGTGTGTGTGTTTACGTGTGTGTGTGTGTGTGTTACGTGTGTGTGTGTGTGTGTGTGTGTGTGTTTACGTGTGTGTGTGAGTTTACGTGTGTGTGTGTGTGTGTGTTTACGTGCGTGTGTGTTTACATGCGTGTGTGGCTACGTGCGTGTACAGGAGTCTGTGTTTATATATTCATTGTCTGCGTATATGCATATCATTCCTTTCGGCATTCAAAGACGCATTACCTAAATACCAAAGCCTCAGAAAAAATCATCAAACTTTCTTCATAGATCCTTTAAAAGCAAAGACCTTGTTTGCTTTGATGAGACCGCAAAAGACAGCTCTGTTTATCCGGCTCCCGAGACACTGTTTGCGGACATCAATCTTATTTTGCGAGGCTGAACTGATGAGACAGAGGCAAGCATATTAGGTCGTGAGTTTTTTTGTTTTGTTTTTTTTGCCGCTCCGTGATTTTTTTTTCCTTTTTTTTTTCTTTCGTTCTCTTTTCTTTTTTCTGATTTTATTTGTAGGTTTTACTCGTTATTTGTGTTTTTTATTATTGTTTTTATTTTCATGTTTTGTCTCTCTGCCCTCTCTCTCTTTCTATATTTATTAGTCTATCTATTAATCTATCTCTACCTGTCTCTATATCTCTTTCTCTCTCTATTCCTTCTCTTTCTCCCTCTCCCTCTCCTTCTGTCAAAACACACAAACACTTATTTTTTTCCTTTGTTGTATGTGTGCGTGCGTGTACATGTACGTGCGTACGTGTATGTGTAGACTACATGTTCATAATAACGTAAAATTGGACACCCATGTAGCTCCATTTTATGCCTAAAATGTAATGCCCAATCCTACACAGTTGCCTAAGTTTGATATATATATATTTTTTTTTATAGTACTACAGTTCTTTCACGCTGCACGGAGATTGAAGAGGCTGTCTATATTGCATATGCACAATAATTTTCTTAGTCTTTCATGGCCGTATTTCCTGTGTAGTTTCGGCTTATGTTACATTAGAGGGTTGATTATACTGAAATGAACGTTATTACGCGGTTGTATAAGACTTCCTTCAACATTAAAGTGAAACCTTTTCTGTTGTGTAATAAAACTCTATAAAGTACAGCGTTTAAGGCGAACCTTTCTACTGTGCAAAAAGATGCCAAGTGCAGTAGGACGTTTGTTGCAAAGATGGGTTTTGTCTAGGAATCGTGAGGCCGTTGGGAGAGGGAGGGAGGGAGGTAGGGGGGAGGGGGAAAGGGTAGGAACATGCAGTCAGGTTAGTTCGCGGGAGATTTTACTTCGTCGGCCCCTCCCACTTCCATGCGGTCGATTGATTGCTTTTTCATTTGAGTTTTGTTTTCTGTGACTCTTTCTCTTTCTTTCTCTTTCTTTCTTTCTCTTTCTTTCTCTTTCTTTCTTTCTCTCTCTCTCTCTTTCTCTTTCTTTCTCTCTTTCTCGTTCTTTCTCTCTCTTTCTCTCTCTTTCTCTTTCTTTCTCTTTCTTTCTCTCTCTTTCTCTCTCTTTCTCTCTCTTTCTCTTTCTTTCTCTCTCTTTCTCTTTCTTTCTCTCTCTTTCTCTCTCTTTCTCTCTCTTTCTCTTTCTTTCTCTCTCTTTCTCTCTCTTTCTCTCTCTTTCTCTCTCTTTCTCTCTCTTTCTCTCTCTTTCTCTCTCTCTCCCTCCCTCCCTCCCTTAAAAGGCTTTTTTTCTTCTTTTTTCCTTAGTCGCATTTTCTGCTTCATCTTCACTTCTCTCTTTTTTTCCCTTCACAAACTGCAAAAGATCAGAGTATTTTTTAAGCTCTTGTATTTTTCCAAAATCATTTTGTACCTTCGACCTTCCCCGCCAGAGCCCTAATACCCTTCTTGGCACCCCTGATACCAGTTAAAAGGTCAGTAGAGTTTGACCTTGCTATTCCTCACCTGTTTGTAGGTCAGGAAGGTCACGAAATCCCCCCCCCCCCACCTCCAGCCCTCCTGACCCGTTTTCCCTTCTGACACGAGCGAATAATCAACTTCCACGCGAATGTTGGTCTTTGTTCACCTTTGAACCTTTGTCTAAGTAAACAAATAATTGGTTTTGTATTGCGTAAAGTAAATCTTAATTGTTTGAGTGTGTTTATTATTATGCGTCTCATCTCGGTTATGTTAGATAATTTTCCCGATATATTGCCAAAAGAAAGTTTTAAGTACATTTACATACAAATAGAGTTCCATTGTACTAAATATATAAGTATACATATAATGCCTCGTGATTTTTTTCCTGTGAATTATGACCCTTACGTGCTTTGACAGACCTTAACGAAATCACCCTCGCCTAACTTAACAACTGTTACCAAAGGAGCGTCAGACCTTGCCCATATAAGGGTTAATACGCGTAACCACAGTAACGGACGAACTAATTAGCATAAAGACCACACACGAGCGGATATTCACATCTTCTTAAATTAATTTCCTGTTTCTTTATTATATGGTTGTGAAAAAAGGCTGTATTAAACTCGCAGATATTTTCTTGTTAGTTATTTGGGTCGGAGAACATCAGTAGCTCGTATATGCATCATTTCGTATGCAGATTGAATTTCCTATAAGGAATAGATTGTACTTTAAGGAAGGTCTGTTTTCTCATGTTTTCAGGGGACGGTGTTTTTTTTTATAACTTTTAGTACTCAAAACACTTGGTCTTGATGATCTGCTCACGAAAAATATGCGTCGTTATATATTTTTACAGCTCGAACCATAGGCTAATCTGTTCCTGGCATGACGACCGTATGGCAACACGTTAATTTGGCGCCGGAAGCACATTTTATGACCGTCAGCTGTGTCAAAGTTCAGGCCACCCTTCCCTGGAAATTTCTCTTTTCCGGGTCAAAATCATGTGGATCTTACTCTGAAACTAGAGTAAACCAATATCCTGAAGTGAAACTATAGACTTAGACGTGAATCTTGAATTTAAGATAAAGATTGATTAATATCGGGGACGCTGGTGTGACGTCATAGTTTCCCCCCTCGGCCTCTTGCGAATTGTGCGCGGGTGGAACTTACTGTTTTCTCTGACTCTCTCCTTTTAAACATCTTTCAAAATCTAGGACACGTAAAATCTGTCGCAGTTGTCGTTACATTTCAAATCACTTGACGAAAGACGTATCGCTCCCGCCCGCTTCTGAATGTTTTTTTTCCCCTCTTTTCCAAGCTCGTTCGATATGAATTACGATATAATAGTCACTGTCGTTACTGGCTGTTACTGTTACCGTCGAAAAAATTCCTGGGTTTTGTGAGGCATTGCTTACTATGGGACCACAAGGGCGGAAATGATTTGACCCAAGTACAATCCATCGCAAATTAACCCCAAGACCTGTTCAAAAAAGATTTGACCCAGTGATCTCCTTAGGATTATAACCTCGTGATCTCAAGGATTAACTTAATATCCCCCGCTTTTTTTTAGCCGCTTCCCCTTTTAACTGTGACAGCAGCTTGCTAATCCTCTTTGGTTGTCAAATGGATAGATCCTGCGTTGAAATCACCATAATTTATAAAGCATTTTTCTCCTCACCGAGAATAACATTATACCCCCCCAAAAAAACGAATATATCTTTCATCTCACCACGAGTAATAAAAAAAAGCTGGAAATTCATATAAAAAACATAGCACTTTTTTCCCATAAAGCTTAAAACAGGGAAAGCTCAGCCCCCCGAGGCCTGTGCTCTGTGCCTCGCCCAAGCGCCTGGCGACGCGTCTCCGGGCCGCCCCATGCGCTCTGCCTCGGGCGGGTCCGTTAGCTTGTTGTTCGCCGATTCCGACCCCGTTAGAGCGCACGCGTCGGCTGTATTACATTTCCGAATCTGACTTGAAGACATACCCCCTCCCCCCCATCTTCGTGAATTCCGCGAGATGACTTGGATTCTCGGAGATTTGATTCTGTCGTTCGGTTCGGAAAGGATGCGAGGAAATTCCACGAAATGTGTATGTATATGTGTGTATCGGGGGAGGGATGGGGAGAGGAGAGGTAGGGAATCAAAATGCATCGTATTTACTTTGTTCTCGGGCTTAAAGAAGTAATTTTTTCTTCTTCTTCTTGACTCCACGGACGTTACAAGGTCAAAGGACAAAAGAAATGCTATTTGTCACTGTCCCTCGGTACCTGCCCTTGTCCCTCGTTCCCGTTACGTTAAACCCCGTCACCTGTTAGGCTTTTTCAAGGTCATGGGCGCAGGTATGGGGATTAACGACCCTGAAACAGGTGGGTAAGGACGTTAGGAGATTATCCTTTTTTCAGGTATTACAGGGTGGAAAATAAGCGATGCATTTTCCTTACATATTTGTACATATATATTTCATACTTGTATATATACATATACAAATGTGTATAAATATGTATATATGTGTATAAATTTAAATATATATAAATGTGTGTGTATATATACATATATATATACATATATATATATATATATATATATAATGTATATATATGTATATATATGTATATATATGTATATATATGTATATATATATGACGTATGTATATTTATATACATATATATGTGTGTGTTTATATATATTGTGTGTATGTATATGTATATATATGTATGTATATTTATACGGTTATTTATATGTATATATATATATATATATATATATATATATATATATATATATATATATATATATATATATGAAAAGGAAAACAGCCACAATAAGAAATTTTCATTTTCCTTTTTGTGTACACGTTACTGTGTTTGTGTCATATGTATGTATGCATATATATATATGTATGTATACATATATATATGTATGTATACATATATATATATGTATGTATACATATGTATATATGTATGTATACATATGTATATATGTATGTATACATATGTATATATGTATGTATACATATGTATATATGTATGTATACATATGTATGTATACATATGTATGTATACATATGTATGTATGCATATGTATGTATACATATGTATGTATGCACATGTATGTATGCATATGTATGTATGCATATGTATGTATACATATGTATATATGTACGTATACATATGTATATATGTATGTATACATATGTATATATGTATGCATGCATATATACATATGTATATGTGTATGTGTAGTTTCTGTATATGTATGTGTAGTATGTGTATGTGTACCTGTACACGTACATCAAAAGTCAGAAATAGGGTTTACCTTGAAATTCTAAATGATATGCGTGTAAGCTTACGTATGTGTCAGTATCGTAAGTAGTCCATGTAGACTCTACGGCTTTGTTTAGCAGTGATGGCGTTAAGACTGTGTGGGTATAATATAAAAAAAAATAGTCCTGGAGGGAAGGGTGTTGTAAAGACCTTTTGTGCGGAGATCTAAGACGACCGCCTGTTAGAGCGAAGGTGCCGGTCATGTCGCCGAGGGAAACATTGGGGTGGAAGTGAATGGGATAGTGATAGAGTGCTCTCTCTCTCTCTCTCTCTCTCTCTCTCTCTCTCTCTCTCTCTCTCTCTCTCTCTCTCTCTCTCTCTCTCTCTCTCATTCATTCATTCTCATTCATTCATTCTCATTCATTCTCTTTCTCTCGCCTTCATTCTCTCTCTCTCTCTCTCTCTCTCTCTCTCTCTCTCTCTCTCTCTCTCTCTCTCTCTCTCTCTCTCTCTCTCTCTCTCATTCATTCATTCTCATTCATTCTCTTTCTCTCGCCTTCATTCTCTCTCTCTCTCTCTCTCTCTCTCTCTCTCTCTCTCTCTCTCTCTCTCTCTCTCTCTCTCTCTCTCTCTCTCTCTCTCTCTCTCTCTCCCTCTCTCTCTCTCTCTCTTTCTTTCTCTCTCTCTCCCTCCCTCTCTCCCTCACTCACTCACTCATTCATTTACTCTTTCCTTTACTCCTTCCCCCCTCCCTTCCCCCCTTCCTTCTCCCTCCCTCATCCCTCCCTTATTCCTCCTCCCTCTTTCCTCCCTCCCCACACAGTATCTCGGTCCAGTTCATCAACAGCCAATGACGTTCATCTCACCAATACAAACCGCAGAGCGAAACTTTCTCGCGGTCACTTCCATGCTGTATTCTTTCACGTGGGTGTCGCTTCTGGCTGTGTGACCTGTTTTTTTAATGTTGTATTAATCTCGCCTGTTTTTTTAGGAGGTATAGATGTTTTCGTAAATTAATGTATGCATGCGTGTATAGATGTATAGATAGATGTACGTGTACGGATGCATGGGTATACGTGTACTCTCTCACACACTTAAAAAGGGATGTAGAGTGTAAAAAATTAGTCGCATCTAATTTAAGAGATAATGAACTACGAAGATAGACTACAGAAAAATGATAAAAAAAGGAAAAAAGGTTGATTATGCTGGTCAGTTGAGTTACAGGAAGAGATGGAATTTAGATAAAGATG